CGCGGCCGGGTCAGCGGCTGCCCACTGCCGCCTCATCAGCGTCAGTAACCACCGTGAGGGCCCATTTGCACCGTCAGCCCCACCCGTCAGGTTCGGCCTGCCTGCGCCCCACGCAGGACCGTTCCACCCCCACCTCCCCATCAGAGGACTGCCATACGTCCATTTCACCGGTCATCACAAGAAATATGCCCTTGGCTTCCACATGCCGTGGCATCACATCGCCCCCAACTCGCATCCTGAGGGCACCAGGGCCAGCAGTAATGGGCAGCAGGACCATGTGACCACTCCCAAGCTCACGGACATGTCGGCCATGCATGGTAGCATCGTTCGTAACGGCAGCAGGATCATTCCCACACCGACACTTGTGCCGCTGGGGGGTTGTGAGAAAGATGGCCTGGCGCGGGGACGACTGGGCATCGTAAAGGGCAGCCACTGCGCACACAAACAGAGCCAACAGGTCAGCCAGTCAGTGGATGGATGAAGACGCAGCATCAGGGAATGTACGGTATTGTGTGGGTCATGATGCATGCAGGTTTGCAGTGCGTCACCGCCAATGGTGCCCCCCCGCATCAGGCATCTGGACCCTGCTCCAGCTCCGGGGTCTCGCATGCCCCGGCTGTGTGCCGAGGAGAAGGCCCCTGCAGACAATACTATCATCACCACCACACAGATGGTTAGACAGACAGACAGACAGACAGAGAGGCTGGTACGCACCCATGGCTGTGGCTGTGTGCGTGGGTGGGGTTTCTCTTTGACAGGTTGACCAACGTGTCAGCACTGAGATCGCATCCTGCCTGGTCCACCCTGTCGTCCAAAGCATGAGCCGTCTCGCCAGCCGTGCGACGCAATCGCAGCATCCCCCCACCGCCCCACCGCCCATCGATCCCACCACCACTATCACCACCACCACTGCCAAGGATAAGGTCATCTTCCTCGACTTGGACGACACACTCATCCCCAGCCACTATGTGGAGTCGCTAGGCGTCCATCGGCTTCTCTGTGAGTACGTGGACAATGGCGGGGCCAGCGGCGGCCGGGCCACGTTCGGTGGGGGGCAGGGAGAGAGGGGGAGGGTGGATGAGATCATCAGGGTGTTCGAGGAGACTGGTAGGGAGGCGGCGAAGGTTGTCCAGACCTGCAAGGAGGCAGGCTGGGATCCCATCCTCATCATTAACGGCAGCCAACGATGGTCAGCTGACTGGTCCACCTTCCTCCCTGTTCATGTCTCATTCTGTCCTGCCTCTGTGTGTGTATGTGTGCAGGCTGGACGCCACTCTGCAGCCCGGGGCATTCGAGCGGCTAAGCCGCGCTCTCGCGGATAATAACGTGCCGGTGGTCAGCGCCCGCCAACGGGCGAGGGACAGGCTCATCCGCCCCCATATGGACGCCCCCACCCAGACAAAACACGACAAGGAGGGCCACCAGGAGGTTTCGAAGGTAAACAAACGGGCCGGCACCGTAGTGAGCGTCAGTCGAGATGGATGGATGGATGGATGTCTGCAGACGATCGCTTTACTGGAGGAGGTGGGCAAGAGGCCCGGCATCACCCACGTGGCCACTGTGGGGGACAATGTGTGGGATCTCATGCCGGTGGATGAGATCAAGAGGTGACAAGATGATGACCAAACAAACACACCTGTCTCTGCATGTCTCTCTGTCGCCTTTTCTTTTTGCAGACGGCGCCCTGACGTTTCGGCATGCAAGATACGCATGGCGCACCGACTAGGACCGACACCTTTCATCAACGTGAGCACCCCCTTACCCTCCACCCCGTTTCCCCACCATTGTTTTCATTGACTCCTCCGTGCTGTGCAGCAATTGCGCTGCCTCAACGAAGCCCTTCCAGCCATCTTATCAGCCACAGAGGAGGGACGCACCCCCACAGACCACAATTATGTCCTGGTACGCAACGCATCCCTCTCTCACAGAGAGAGAGAGAGTGAGAGAGAGCAAAGGAACGGGTTTTTCTTTCTGTTGGCTTGGGTACGTCTCGCTCTGCAGAGGCCGGTGGGTCCTGGCTCGGGTGGTGAGTTTGAGGCCCACCGAGAGGTCGATGGGGTCGCACCAGGGCACCAGGAGTATGTTGCTTGCCTACGAAAGCACCGACCAAACAGACTGGACTACACGGTGAGTACCGTACTTCTAGGTCACTCACAACCAAACCCAAGACAGACCGGCACTTAGGGCCTTTACCCCTCTGTGCACTGTGTGCTCTGTGTGTGTGTGTGTGTGCAGTGTCTCGACGAGTACATGGACCTCAACGCGCCGCCAGACCATCACCCCCTCCCCCCCACCGACCCCCACAAGCCGCCCACATGCGGGAAACTCGTCAAGAGAGCCCTCGCCACCCACACCCACAGGATGTCAAGAGGCGGGTCGGCATGGCCCATGAGGACGACCAACAATGGCGTCACAGGGAGGCCTCCATCGACAAGGCCATCGAGGCACTCATCGGCCAAGAAGGGCCTGAGAGCCTCAGCGACCAGGGCCAGCGCGGAGGCACAAAGCTTGTGGGATTGGCTGGGGCGGGGAGTGGGGGTGCCGGTGGGGGCGGGTCGGCTCACCGCCGAGTCGGCATGTCCCGTGAAGACGCCGACAGACCCGCCGAGGCCACCAAGGTGGCGACGGGCAGTGCCGTCCGCCACCCTGGTGGCTTTGTTGCGGTGCATGTCCACCACCCGATGGTGCACATGGGCATGCAGCAGCAACGACATGCCCCAGCCACAGCCACAGCAAGGCTCGTGCCGCACAGGGGGACACTGGCCGCCGTGGGAAACAACACCAACTGGGTGAGGAAGAAAGACATACATTCCTTCCTTGATATGAATGTGTGTGTGTCTGTCTGTGTCTTCGTGTCTCCTCTGTCGCTCCCTCAGGTGACGCCTTACGTAGTGATGCGGCCCCCAGCCGGCCTGCCTGTCTGGCCGCCCTTGCCGTGCCGCACACGGGAGCCGTGAGGGGCGGCCCGAGGAGAAATGGGTGTGTGTTGATGTCTAGACGCGACACATACCGGGGGCGCCCGACAGGGTGCGTGTCTGTCGATGGACGCTCAACATATGCGACTGCTTAGCATTACCGGTTGACGATGCCGAGATTCGATTTGGAGGAAGAGCCGAACGAGACACAAAAGGATGGCATTGCATCCCTGCCTTCTGAGGCCGGCGGGAGGGAGAGAGGGAGACACAGACAACTGGATGGATGGATGGATGGATGGATGGATGGATGGATGGATGCATGGATGGCTGAAAGATTGGTTGGAAGGACACGACCATCCGACATACGACAACTTTGACCCCATGTTGGCCAAAAGGAATTCACTCATCATCGCATATGAGGTCGTCTGTCCAGAACCATCGGCTGTGGTGCACAGCCGGTCACTCAAGCCAGTCCACCCACATCCCTCCCTCTGTGCCGCCTCTGAGGGCCGGGGCGGCTTCGCCAAACCACGCCAGCAGGGCCGCACACACCGCCAGCAGCACACACGGACGCGAGAAAGACCAACAGGCACCAGGCCAGACGGACAGACAGACAGACAGACAGACAGACAGACAGGAAGGAACGAGCCAGGCGAGGGGGTTATTTCTGGGTCTCAAACCCGTCACCCAAACCCTTCAGATGGATGAGTTATCGCGTCTTCTGTTTTTGGAAGAAGCAGAGGGATGGATATCGACGAAGGAGCAGAGGATGATGCCGCCGCTGTGCAATTAGCCGAGGCAGCTGCCGCTGCTGCACATGACGATGCTGAGATGGAAAATGGCACCATCTCTGGCGAGGCAGATCACTACGACATTGATCTCGTTGCTCTCTTCACACGGATCCCTCTGGTAAGTGCCAAAGAGCGCTCCCCTCTCCCCCTGCACACACAACACACGCCCGCTGCATAGATCTGACTGACGCGTTTTGTCGTGTGTGCGATGGTGCGTGTGTGTTGGTTCAGCCCATCCTTCTCACTTCCCTCTTCGCGTACATGCCGCTGCGGCAGCTCGTCGGCCTCCCCCGTCGCGTGTGGAGCGCACTGGCGCCCAACGTGACGCATCTGATCATCGACGGTCGGTTCGAGCCGGACAGGGCATTCTGGAGGAGAATGCCCTTTGAAGCGGCACGGTCATGGGGCAGGAGGCTCACCCACCTGACGTCAATCACACTGAGATACACTCTGACACTCTCGTGAGCCTTACCTTCAGACACACACGGGGATGCTCTGAGATATGTGTGTGTGTGTGTTCGTGTGTGTGTGTGTGTGTCTGGTTCAGGAACTATGCCATGGTCGCATTCGCCGGGGTGGTCGACGGGCACGCAGAGGGGCGAGCCGAGATGCTGGACAAAGCACGGGCCGCCGCCGAGGCGGCGAACCAGCAGCCCCCGAACATCCCGGCCGGCACGCTGAGGACCATCACGTTCGAGCAGGCTGACAGAACCGACATGAAGCGCGCAGAGATCATCCTGCTGCCCACCCTCCGCGCACAAGAGCCGACCATCCCGCCATCGGCTGGAGGTGAACCGGGGGCCGCCGAGAACACCACCATGCCCCCTCGGCTGGCCCTCCCGTCCCTCCAGACCATCAGGGGTCTCCGCCCCGGCCACAGTGTGGTGGCGGCAAGGTGGAAGATGCCGGCGTTGCAGGACGTGTTGGACGCGAGAGCGGAGCCGGAGAGGAGTGCGCCGCCGCTGTCGGACCCCCTGCGGCTCCGGTTTTGGGTGTCGACATCGACCTCACTGCGGCGACTGGACGTCTGCTCGTCGCCGCGGCACAAGGCCATGGTGTTGGACAATGTGGGCGGCCGTTACAGTGGTGGTGGTGGTGGTGCCGGTGGTGATAAGGCCCGGCTGCTGGCCAACTTGGAGGATATTGGGACCATAGAGGTGAGTCATCGGCGCACACACAGTCACTTCATCACGGGTTCCTCTACTTGTGTGTGTGTGTGTGTGTGTGTTGGTGCAGTTTAGCCCTCACACACCTGTGGCACACGGCCTCAGTAGACTGGAGGCAAGCCGCAGAATGAAATGCAACACGCCCCACTCTGCCACAATCACCTTTCTGTCTGTCTGTCTGTCTGTGTGTGCCGCCCTTCAGAGCGTCCTAGTTTCGCGCGGCTGCGACGGCGTGCAGGGCCGTGGACTGACAAGCGTCAAGGTGGACATCACTGGGCGGCACACGAGAGCCGCTTCGACCACAGTAGAGGTGAGCAACACCCCACAGAGACACACACTCAGACACAGACACACCTCTCCTGACGCTGTCTGTGATGGTGCAGATGCTCGTCGCGTTGGAGAGATTCGTTGAGATGGTCTGGCGGTCTCGCACCGTCCAGATCACCCCAGGCGCCATCCCCCAGCCCCACATCAGCGCCTTCGACCTCACGGCCCTCCTCCGTCTGCCCCCAAATGCGACCCCATTCATCAAGCAGACCATCACCCGCCTCGCCAAAGTCGCCCTCACAGTCGAGTGGCGCGTCAGCAATGCCGATCTGACCGACCAGCAGCCCCTCGAGTCGCCGAACGAGGCTGTCAAAGAGGTCGCCGCCGCCATATCCTTCGCCAATACCGAAACCGTCTCCATCCAGTCAAACAGCCATTTTAACAACAACCAGCAGCAGCAGCAGCAGCAGATTGTTTCCCCCCGGCCCAATGCACTCGAGCACCTGGACGGCAGCCATGCCTTCCCAAAGGCCAAGGCCCTGTTGATCGACACGCCCTTCGGCTGCCACGCCGTGGGGCCTCTCATGCGGGCGATGCGCAGCACTGTGGAGAGGGTGGAGATGCTCTCGACGGGGGAGATGCCGTTGCCGGCGGAGGCCTGGGGCGTGTACCTGGCTGGCATGGGACCCCACACCACCCTCTCAGGCACCCTTAAGATGCGGGTCGAGGGCTGGGGAGAGCCCATCGACTGGGGCGACAGGGCCCACAAGATGCCCACTGTCAAAGGCATCGAACTCTACCTGACAGGTACACTTGTAGGTCAGCCACAGAGGGACGCACTGCACCGCACCCCATCTCTCTCTCTCTCTCTCTCTCTGTGTGTGTGTGTGTGTGTGTGTGGTGCAGTGCCTGGCAATGTGGCTCATTCCCTGGCCGAGGAGGACGACTACTTCTATGCCTTCATCCAGCAGCTCATCAAGCTGCGGGGCCTCGACAGGTGAGAGAGACAGCAGCGCTGTGTGCCACTCCCTCATTTGTGTGCCCATCCATCCATCCATATGTGTGTGTGTGTCTGTGCATCGCCTCGGCCTATCAGGGTGGAGATAATGGAGCCGGTGGGCACCAGCCGCCGAGTGCTGCGCACCAGGTGCCCCAACAAGACCATCGGCGACTTCACGATAGACTTCCACGGCTCACTGCGGCTCATCCGGACGACATGGACGAGCCGTGGCAGATAATAACGAGTGTGTGAGTGCTGTGTGGTGCCCGACAGTCTGTTTGATTAACGTAGGCAGCTCGACGGCTGGATGCGGTCCGTCGGTCGCATGTGACTTGTACAGAAAGGGACGGACGGACTATGAGTGTGATTTCTGCTGCGTGTGTGATGCGATGCTTGTCGTGCGTGTGATGATGGTGGGTATCATAATAGAGGACTCATGGTATCATCATAGTCATTTGTATGTCTTCTGGTATTCACTATTGACCCAGAAGACGTGACGTCTGTTCTGTGAGACCCACAAATACACACACATACACACACACACATATACACACATCACAGCCAGCGACATACATGAAGCTCGTGTCTGTCTGTCCGTCTGTCTCTGTCATGGTGTCCCCCACCCATCCCTCATCGCCCCTCCAGCCCCTTGGTCGAGCAGCTGGCCTACTTGGTCGAGCAACAGACCAATGCCTCAGGCCAGCTACCCTACCACTAAGCAAGAGTTGCTACGAAGAATGGCGGCAACTCGCAAGACGCAACCACCTGCAGCGACGCCAGCTCTCTTCCCGGTAATCAGAATCAGTGTGTGGCGTCTTCACTCGGCCAATCGTGCTGTCTGGCTCAATCCCGACGACTGAGGATGGAGCCATGCAGCACAATCGCAGGACTGAACACGCCACCCAGCGGTCCAATGAGACAACAACCACACACGCACGAAACATCCACCCCTTCATCCGTTTGTCTGCCTGCCTGGGTGTGTCGACAAAGATACCCCCCCATCCGTATACACACTCACTGACCGACCGATTAGGCCACACACCGAAAAAGCCATATATCCGTCCATCTACTACCTCTGCACACTCATATTCGCCTCGCGGCCCTCCCTCCCTCTGTCATGTGCCATCGTCCAGGAAGCGCATAAAGGCCGTCTGGTCCCACTCGCGCGCCAGTGTGCGCGGCTTCATGACCACCATGCCCCCCACTCGGCTGACCGTCTCGTAGAACTGACCGTCCATGCAAAGGCAAGCGACACACAGACGCTCGTGTGTGTGTGTGTGTGTCTGTGTCTGTGTGATGGCTTCCCAGCCCCTAAACCCCACCTCGAATATGGGAGCGTAAGCCTCTCTGTCAGCGTCACGCAGCACCACCCGAGAGCGGTCATCGACGAACTTGAGGGCGTACAGCGCGGTTGCCACCCGGAAGCGGCCGTCGACAAAGATCACATCGAAGCGAGGGAGGCCGGGCTGCTCGATGGCCTGGATATAGGGCGACATGTCAACCCCGCTTGACGTCGGATAACCTGACAGACAGAAAGCAGACACACACAACCACAACCACTGCACTCTCCCTCCCTCCCTCTCTCCCTCTCCCTCTCTGTGGCCCACCCACCAGCCCACCCACCATAGGGATCGGTTTTGCCGGTGTTGGTGCAGATCAGCGTCAGGCGCCCCTGCCTCTCGTAGCACAACCACCGTGGCTCCTCCCTCATCAGCTGGCAGATCTCGGCCTTGTTCTCGGCCGACCAGACGTGCCTGGCCGAAGCCGCAGCGGCGAGGGTGCTCCAGCCGGACCCCCACTCGAAGTAGGTGAGGGTCCCTTTGGGCAGCAGCAGCTCGGTGAAGGCGCTCACCTCTCCAGGGGACATGTTGATGGGATCCCGCGAGCTGGGGACGGACTCGCAGTCCTCCACACCACTGATGCCAACCTGCGAAGAAGAGTTGTTGTTGCTAATGTTAATTAGGGATGATGTTGCGGCTGATGACGCAGCGGACAGCCTGCCGAACACTGATAAACCACACACAGCAGGCGCACACACAGGCAGAAAGAAGGCCTGTCCGTCTGTCTGTCTGTCTGTCCGCCTGTCGGTTCACCTGTCTTCTCCACATAGTTGCGAATGGCCGAGTAGTCCTGCAGTGTCAGCTGTGCCCTCCTGGTTATCTCAGCAGCCGTCCCCTGCAGCTCAACCAGGCTCTCGAGCAGCTCCCGCAGCTGCCGCGGCACACCACCAGACCTCCCGACGCCAGCAGCAGCGGCGGGGCGGAGAAACCGCCTCCTTCCCTCGCTGCTGCTGGCGTGCACCTGCACCTGCTGGTCGAGATCATGGTGCCAGCTGCTTGTTGAGGAGATCTGCATGAGGCCCAGGATGACGGCCGCCGAGCCCACACAGGCAAGCAGGTGGGCGAGCCGGAGAGAACAGACAGAGTGCTTCATTGTCAGCGGGATATGCGGGATATGAGGACTCTCATCGCCAGAGTGCCCTCAGCGGCATGACAGGGTTTGGGTGAAGGGTTTGGAACCCCACTCCTCATGTAAACATACCGTTCCCGGATGACGCGTGCGTGGCTGGCCCTGTCCTCCTTTGTAGCGCTACGGTCCCTCCCGCTGGCCAGCAGCGGTGGCAGCCGCTGCATCGACCGGGACGACCTGCCTGTCAGGTACTTGAGAGGAAGTGACTCACACACACGTGCACGCAGAGAGGGTGTGCCCTGTGTGTGCGTGTGTTTGTGCGTGTGCGTTGATCAGTGACATCTCGCAGCTGTTCAAGAGGTCCAAAAAAGAGCTGGACGCCATCTTCACCAGAGGCAAGTGCCAGCCAACCAGCCACACACACACAAACACACACACACAGAGAGAGAGAGAGAGAGAGAGACAGTGACACGTCTGTCTGTCTGTCTGTCTGTCTGCTGCGGGCCGTTCGTCGATCAGGGTGCATAGAGCAAGGCCAGTTCCCCATGGGCGTGACGAAGGGGGAGCTGGTGTGGGCCACCGGCGTCCTGCCGCCGGTGGCGCAGCTTTTGTACGGAGAGGCGTTCGAGCTCGTCTGGGAGGGCTCCTTCCTGCAGAAGACCGTCTGCGATGGGAGGGACTTCTTTTTCTATTTCTCGCTGCTCAACCCACTTGTCGATGGAGCAAAGGTCGGTCGGGTCGCTCGCCTCTGAGCCACGCACAGAGGGACAGAGAGAGAGAGAGATAGAGAGAGAGAGCGAGGGACCCACCATCTGTCCATCTCCATCTGTGTGTGTGTGTGTTGTGTTGGGCTGCAGCTGGGTGTGGGGCAGGTAGTGGCTATGCCCGCCAAGGCTGGAGTAGGGCGGCTGGCTGACCCCAAGGTGCGGCTGGACGACCAGCTCTCGTATGTCTATGACTTCGGCATCTCCAAGACAGAGGACTGCCTTGACCAAGTCTCGCCCTTCGGCCGACAGGTCACGTGCACCCGCACCAGAAACCACACACACACACACACACACAAGAGAGAGAGACAGAGACTGACTCTTACACACTGGGTGCTTTGCTTGGTGCAGAGGTATCCGTTCGATAACGTCTTCCCCATAAATCTGGTACGCGAGGAGGGCAGGATAGTGGGGGTGGACGACACGGGCAGGACGATCGAGCTGCAGCGCGACTTCTTCGAGGTCCTCGACGGCATGCTCGTGCCGTTCCAGTACGAGGCGATGCTCGCCGGCCCTGGCGCCATTACACGGTGACGACAAGACACATAGGCTCTCTCTCTCGGTGCGTGTGTGTGTTTGGAGCGGGCGTGATTGATGTGTCGCGAGAGGGCCCTCTAGGGGTCTGTGTGTGTGGGGGGCGGGGGGGAGAGAGGTGGTGGTGGTTTGGCAACACGTGACTTTGCCTGAACTACTCGGCAGCCTCTCGTGTGTCCGTCTGTCTGTCTACGATCGACTGCACTGCACCTCATTCGCCATAAGACATGTGGGTGTGGTGTGTCTATAGAATGGCTGGCCAATTAATGACACATGGATGGATGGATGGAGGGAGGGAGGCAGGCAGGCAGAGAGGGAGGGAGAAACTGTCTGCTGCGCTTTCGGCTCACCCATAATCAATAGGTACCGATCCATAAGCTGATGGTAGCAGGTAGCATTAACAGGGAGTCTGGCTGCAAACAGTCGTAGCAGCAGGTAGGGGCAGCTTACACACATTCCCACACACAATCTCACACACTCTCACACACAGGTAAGTAAGCAGTCATTCTTTCTTGTCCGGCCGGCACGAAAAAGACTCCCTGGCTGGCAGATCGATGACAATGACATGACAGGTGCGTGCGTGGGAACGAGGACAGCATAGCGGAGCATAGCAGAGAGAGTCCACACCCACACACAGAAGGGTCGGTCGACAGGTGGGCAGGTCGTTTCGGTCGGTCTGGCTGCCTGTCTGTCTGTGCTGCCTCGGACAAAAAGGAGAGCACGCAATGACCCCCCCCC